TTCGTTACATAATGCAAAAGCAGCGGTCAAACCATTGGAAGTAGGATTAGAATTGTGTTTTTCGTCACTTGGCCCTAACCTCATTCTTTATGGGCCTATGTCTGGTCAGTAGAATTCGGTTAGCTGGGTCTCGCGACAAAACAGAACGTATGTGATATGGTTGGAGAACCATTTTCCTGACAAATTCAATCACAATGCGCGCCTTATAACATAGATTACTGTTTTCAAACCGTGTCACAAACAGTGCAATTATTATAGAAATAGAGGCAAGTTAAACTAGATGTTGCAGTTCTTTGTATTCTTACGATCGCTGCATTAAAGCAAAACAACAATGATCGATCCATACTACAAGGCCAAAACAGTTTCTGTATCCATGCGGACACAAAAAGTGGTTTTGTCTTGATACTTTAGTAATATTTATTTGAGATGAGTGAAGAATTTCGTCAAGGCTTTCACTCAGTCTTAAGCCATGGAAAAATGAAAGAGGGAACTTGGTTGTTCATCAAAACTAGATATGATCTAGGGAAGGGCAGTGGAATCCCGGAAGATGATTGCTCAAATTTCCTCGGGGATTTCCGTTCTGGAGATGCGTTTGTTCTACCTCCTCACTCGGGAAGATGGCTGGTCCGTTTCCGTATACAATTGTGGGGTTTGTTTACGACGACGGAGTTCGTAAAGTATCCAATTTCCGTACATAACAACCAGATTATGTTATTGAAACGTCAGGTACACATGTATAACGGCGAATTCGTGATTGTTCCTCCAGTTTTCTTATCTCAGATAAGCGATAATTGCGTCGAGACAATCCGTTCTATTGGTAACAATAAATACGTCGTGAATTTGACAATTTAATCGCGGAACGATTAGTCAAAGAAATACATCGTCATTGCAGTTTCGAATCTCCAATGGATCGAATAATTTTCGTCGTTGCATACGAAAGCTACTATCGCAACAAATATAGCAGTAAGAATAATCAAACAAAGTTATATGAACAAAAGTACAAAATAAAATATATTGTGTGTAGAATCTAGTTGAAATGAACCATTCGTTGAGCGTAAAAAAATTCCATATTCTAGTTCGCTATTATTATGCTATCTTTCTCTTCATTTTCTCCATAATTTGTTTGGAGTGAACTTCCATTTGCCCAAGGGTATTCAGCCAGGCACAGCATATATGTTTTTTTGAATTACATAGTCGGAAAGAGGTAGAATAATAATAAGAAATAAAAAAGTGTGTAGAGCAGATATGGCATAACACTGAAAATTTGTATTATAATCAGTATTTTACGTAGACAAATGAGAAATGAGGAAGAATATGTGTGACTTTATCCATTAACAAATTAATGGAGTGTTTCTAGGAGATAAATTTGATTAAGAATATATATTTCTATATATGGTTATGTATATAGTAATATTTAAGATCATTAACACTAATTATGTCATTAAGAAACGAAATGGAGTTCTATGATTTTATTGTAAATTTTGATAATTCTAATTCGATTAACTTTGTTGCGTCACGATTTCCATTAGATATTTGATAATGATATTTGATTAATGATTATAATTATTTGAGCCACGTTACTCAACCTGACCACCCAAGTGAAGGTGACTTCTACTCCTATGAACAATAAGAAAAATGTATCTTCTTGTTTCATTTTTTTATACTAATAATACCTTTATTTTTATTCTTAATTTTTTTTTTCATTTTTAGTGATTAATTTCATTATTTTCGACGAAAATACGCAGTACGTCTCCTAACGTACCAGCTTTTTATTAAGTTATTGCAAGTCGTTTTTATTTATTTACGTTATACTAGACTCTATTGATTATATATTTTTTATTATTGAGGTTTTACAATTCGCTAGAATGAATCAGCCATATGTTTTAAGTTAAAATTCTCATGAGTGTTCTCTTCGAATCCATTAACTTGATTAATTGTTGCATTTTATTTTATTTTATAAAGATATTTAAATTACTAAAAACGTATGTCTTCAAAGTTTTGTTTAACAAGTAAATCTTCTTTCATTATCAATAAATGGTTGTTTGAACCAAATAAAGCTTCTGCGAATCTCCATCCAAATGAAATAAATTGTTCTTTTAAGCTAATGACCGTTTATTTGATTTTAGTACTTTACAAATTATTTAAAAGTGTCATCTGGAGATAATTATTTTTTTTTCGCAGAATGCAAAGTGGTCAAATGTTTCATCTCCTTAACTGGCGCAATCCTCAAATTTATATTGTCTTTTCTCTCCACGCTCACGGCAAAAGGGACTTATCTATCTTTATCTTAAATCGCCCACCTGTCATACAGACAAGAGATATTTGCGGCCATGTACTATCCTTTTATGAGTTATTATGAGTCATTGACGTCATTTATGTTTGTTTCAAACTCCTATTGTCAGACCATAATGTTAAATTTCCCCTACAAAATAAATAGAAAAGTAATTCTCGAGAATCAATGAAATCATTTGTTAATGATTAATAATTGTCATTCAATTCAAATTTTGCATGCAAACAATAAATTCTTGTTCCATATAATTAAATTGGTTTTATTGATATAAGTAAATCAATTGGTTTATGTGTAACAACTATTTCTTTGAAATACACGGAGAACAGAGCCATGGTGAAGAGATAGATAGATAGATGTGTATTTATTAGCAAAAATGCTATGCAGATATGTTTCATACAATGTATAACAATATGTTGTATAGATGTAGCTCGAATCCGTTACTTATCAATATTATTATTATTAGACATATAGGAATATCCACGCTTAATAGAAATAACTATAATTTATGAAGCATGACTATGTTAAAGTAATTATTTCTATATGCTATAGTGACAATTGTATTGTGCCTATAACTATACTATAATGCATCGTAAGACTTTCGATGGTAATGGACTCGATAGGTATAGTAAACAAGTGGGGAATGCCATTATATGGAACAGCGTATAGCTGTTGTTGCTAAGAAATTAGCAACAAGCTTCGGAATGGATTTTCTGAAAATTGGAAAATAATAAAGGTAGTTCCATCATCTTTTCACGTGAGTATCAATGCTTTGAAAAAAAAAATTGAACAGCGATTTCATTGATATTGCTCATAATATTTTCCGTTAATTACAAAGATAAAAAAAACCGGATGTACATACGATCAAGATCCTATTAATATCATTTTTTAAGTGATCATTGATTTCCATTTTATAATTACTTGAGTTATCGTTGAAAATCAATTTTCGAACAAATACGAATATTTCTGAAACTTAGAGAAATGAAAAGAATCACCTCATCCCATAATAATGTGTACTGTAGTTGTCAATAGTATTATAGTAAAAATTGCCATGAAGGTCACGCTGAAGAATCATTGATGATACTCTTATGGTAAAATCTCATATATTGCAGTAATGTCTACCATTTCCTTTACTCCGTGTAAAAAAAAATAGAATACAAATTTGTATATGATGCTATATAGAGCTTTCAGTTATTTTATCTTCATCATTCATCTGATTCTTATTGCCTTATCAAGATTGTTATCAAAAAATTAGAAACAAGATGTAAGTACAAATAAAAATATTGATGAGCAGTAGAAAATCCAATTTATAATTCCCATCTTAAAATTGATGACACGTCCGAATATCATCGTACCTGTTTCATCGAAGCGCCTGTTCCGCGTAGATAATGGAAAACTCAATACGTCTCTGAATGTCAGAGCAAGTCTGAATCGACAACAATTCTTGTATCCCATCAGACATGACTCAAACTGTAATACCTTTTTGCACACTTACTCCTCCTCATTAAAGAAAAAATTAAATAATTGTGCAAGCACTACTCACACCATCAAACTTCAGCATCTTGTTTATCAAAAATGTAAAAACCACGAAAAAATGGTTAAAACTTAGAGTTTCAGGCATTGCACTTCCATCAATGATGTGAGAGGTCCTCAAGAGCATGAACCCGAAGCAAGATCTCCACCCTGAATTATGTAAAACTCAATTGTCTCCTTTTTGACACAAAGAACATTAAAATGGCAGCTCCAATTTTCCCAAGTAGTTCCACAACTCTTTTTTTCATTCTCTTTTCGGCATTCAACATAAAGCAGAAATCTCGCTTGCAGGGAATGTGAAGAGCAGCATAAAAAATGACTGGAAAATGTGTTCATCGATTTTGTTCCATTCTCGCCAGTGAATTATTGAAATCCGCACAAAAGCTATCATCTACCCTCTCACCCTCAACCTGTAACCACCAAAATCCGTAAAAAAGTGAGAGGATCCATCTTAAATTGAAGTAATACGCTCCTTTTCCACTGTGTGTTCTCTCCGCAAACGTAGTCTCAATTCCCCACCCAAAGTATCAAGCATCAGAATGAAAACGCATGCGTCGCGACGCCGAGCTGTTTGGTGGGTATCCGTTTCCCTCGAGCTGTGAATATCACGTCTGTATCATATTCGGCAGCCGCACGCGGAGCCGAACACAAACGTAGTGCAAGTCCACCTCAAGCTTTTCTTAATCTCCTAGACCTCGCTCTGGATACCTCAAGCAAATTAACGAAACAAATTTCTGAAACATCAATATGACATGTGATCATTAAAAATGTGTATAAAATTAGTGAACAGTGATAAGAGTTGATGGGGATACCCTGAAGATAGAGATGCTCGCGCTTCCTGGTCCATGATATCATCATCACCATCTCCATCACCATCACCATCATCACTACCATTACCATCGTCACCAATTGCATTGATTCAATATCAATTAATACTTATAGCGACCAAGGTATCTAGTCAGTCTGAACACTTTCATAAAGTTACAATCAGGATCGTCATCTTCCTGAGTTATTCGAAAAAACTTGAGCTTCAATGATGAACTCTACAGACTCAGCGTTAGATTATAGATGTGGACCAGGTCTAGATGGTCTTCATCAGGAGTACGTCAAGGTCCATGGTTGGGCAAGCCTGTTGGTGTGCATCTTCGGTTCAATTGCCAATACTTTAAACATAGTAGTGCTATCACGACGCGAAATGTCTTCGCCAACCAATGCCATCCTGACTGGACTCGCTGTAGCTGATCTTCTCGTGATGATCGAGTACATTCCATACGCAAGCCACATGTACCTCTATCATCGTTCAAGAAGAGACACCTATACCTACGGATGGGCGGTATTTGTCTTGATCCATTCAATCTTCACTCAAGTCTGTCACACAATATCAATTTGGTTGACAGTGACACTAGCAATTTGGCGGTACATTGCAGTTGCCTATCCCCAGAGTAATCGTCAGTGGTGCAGTTTCCGGAGAACTATTATGGCTATTGCTGGTGCGTACGTAATATGCCCATTGATATGCTTACCCGTATACTTCACAACCCAGTTAACGTCAAAAATTGAAGTACTAAATAGTGATGGTAATTCAGTCAATATTAGTGTGTACAACGGAACAGAAATGCTTACCAACGAAACATTGTGGTTTGTTGACTTGAGTGAAACAATGAAGACGCATGGATTATTAAATTTGATGAATTTGTGGATGTACAGTGTTGTAATTAAGCTCGTACCGTGTCTAGCCTTGACCATTTTAAGTTTGAGGCTGATTCTTGCACTCCTAAAAGCTAAGAAAAGGCGCAAGTTATTGACGAGTAATAATGTTTTCAAGAATAGTGATGAAAATGTGGTGGAGAATTTGTATGATATTAAACCGAGTAAAAAAAAATCGTCAAGATTACTGGATAAAGAGAGACAGACTGATAGAACCACGAGGATGCTTTTGGCCGTTTTGCTACTGTTTTTACTCACGGAATTCCCGCAGGGTGTTCTCGGGTTACTCAGTGTCATTCTCGGGACTGGATTCTTCAGGACTTGTTACGTGAAACTTGGTAAGATTGTTATCCGTGTTCCCAGGGAAGAGAGGGTCGTCAATGCTTGCTCATTTTTCATGATTTGATCCGATCCCAGACCATATATATATATATATATATATATGGAAATATATTGTACCAATAAGTAGTAATATGTGTCGCTTTTTGGTAATTTACTGATATTTTCCCATCTATGATTTCCGATACATAAAAAAATATATTGCGATTACTATAGGTACACTCTTATATGGTTATTATATATTGAACCACATATATGCTGAAATAAATGGTTTCATATATTTTTGTGGGATAAGGGAAATATATTCGATTCATATACTGGCTAGAGAAAAAAAAAGATTGATACGCAGAGCTTATCCGCTTCCACTGAATATCACGCATTATATTATATATTATATTATGCAAAATGCATAAAAAATATATGAGGCATATATGTTATTATATACGATAATCGCTCGCAAGCAGCTATATGATACCAATATACTGCATCATATTTTTGAATGTATTTTACTGCTGACAAAATATACTTCATTACATACTTTAGCTATATATCTTCTTTTCGTTTGAGGAATTGCTGCCCTTTTCGTAGATTTTATTTTTGAAAAGAAGTGTACGTGGTGGGGAATCTAAATTGAAAATATAACATTAAGGTATTATTTTTATAAATAGTACATAAAAACGAGATGAATTTCAACGTAATGTGACGTAGACATGACATCGAAATTTCACACGTCAACGCCATTTTTCATTAAATTAAGAGTTACTTATTTATTAGTTCGGAGATGTGCAGAAATGATAAACTTTTATTATTTTGATATTGTTAGATAAACCGTGTTATGAAAATGAAAACAAAAGAACTATATAATAATTATTTAGATCTATAATCATGATAGATCATTGCTGTAAGTTATCACAACTGATATTTTCGGAAACGCAAAATCCGACTTCTCAAACGTTATTTATTATATTCTTTATATTCTTTATATTCTTTTTTTTTTCTTTAATATTCCGACCCTTTGTGCCCTGTTCTGGCTAATCAACCCTATCTCACCCTATCTCACCCAGTATACGGCTGTGGATCGTATTAGCTCTATTAGCAATCTCCCGCTCATTGGTACCTGCCGAAAATTTACATTCAATTATTTCAGTGGGAATATATTAAAAATAACTCAGTTAATACTATCGTTCTGCAACTTGCAGTCATTATTGATTGGAGACTGACCACTTCACTATTCTGATAACTCATGACTGCCCATTTCACCAAGGACGTAGTAGTTAGTAATCAAAGCGCTCGTTTCTGTACTATTTGTTAAATAATATAGGCGACATTCTTTACCAAAACATGCATTATTGGTATATTTATTGAATATTTATAGAATTTTTTCAGCTTAATTCATTTTAAAACATTAAGAACAGGAATATGAAATAATAAAATCAGAATCCTGTCACAGCCGTAATGCACAAACATTTATTTTACTCTAGATCATGTTAGACTCAGATAAAATATTTGAAACTATTTGAGGAAGAGTTAGACATATAATCGCAATAATAATATCCATTCGATAATAGTTCGATAAATCAAAGAGCGCGTAACTTCTGTTTCTTATCATGGGCGATATTAGTCTTACATTATTATTGAATTTAACTCATAAGTTATTTCACTATTTTCAGAAACGAGATTAGGTCATTTAACAGTCAGAAAAAATTGATTAAATTCATAATCAATTGGCCAACGTACCAAATACTTGAATCAAGTGTATTTTATACTGGATTTAAGTTTTTTTTTCCGTGCACGAATTGTTGCCCAATTCTTGCGATTGTTCTCCCCTCTTCGTTTACCAATCATCGAGGGAATTACTAGTCTAACTTTAAACTAGCTACCTACTATTCATTACAATATGTAGACGAATTGCCAATGGTATGGTATCTGCTAGACCTAACCCTGGAGTTGGTATGCCAAATCTTCGGTAATCTACTACATAACGGCCGACTACCGGATTAAGGCGGTTGTCGTGTAAAATATTTACTCATCAGCTTTCGTTGGAATTTTCATGATGTATAGTTACAAAAAGTCACTGCAAAATGATCACTTTCGGTTTGAGGTTGTCGGCTTTGACCTTGAGATAGAAATTTTTCAAATTTCATTGACTCGTCATGTGTTTAAATGGACCATCACGGATTAGATCTCTTTTCAATCCACGGCTGAATAGTTTTCCAAATAAAAATGGTTTAGAGTAAAAATCCCATCATTGAATATAGCAAAAGAAAATTAAATTTGAGCTATCCATACACAATCAAGTGAGACTATAGGTTGTCAAAAGATTAGCGTTAATTTGGGTCATATTACAGCGCATAAACTTTTGACAGAGACTGTTGCACGAGCGACTTGAAATTTGGCATATGAGAAATACGATAAAGCTGGCCCATGATTGGCCCAACATCGGGCCAAGACCGCCAGCACCTCGTTTCCTACCCAGATAGCTTATTGACGTCCAGATATCAGCGAAACATCAAATGGGCATACATCGATTTCCAAGTGTCAGATGCTGATTAGGTAGGCTTCGGGTGCCCAGAGTTGATGCGGGTCAAATTGATGTAACAAATTAACAAATATCGACGATCTAACTTCCAGTAGAATCACAGTCTAGTCGGAAAAACAAGCGTAAAGATCCTAAAGGTGAAATGATGGTGAAGGTCATAAAGGTTAACTGGAAGCCATCATAGACTAAATTCTGAAATTCGGAGATTTTAAAAAAGGTTGAATGACTGGGATCGAACTAATCCGTCAAAATCCATAAACAGATGTTAAGGGTCCAGCGCTTGTAATCCAACGGTTCATCTATGTCAAACTTTAAAGATGTGTAAATCGACATGGGAGTTAAAAAAATTGATTGACAAATTCAATTATGATCAATTTTAATCAGTGAAAACAACAGCAATGATGAACAATCTTTATTTCGTGTCCCCCACTCTTGACACTGGAGGAAAAAGTTAACTTCAGTGTACAACGGTCCGTGAACCGAGTGGTTAGCATTAAGGAGTTGTAATCCAAAGATTACAGGATCGAATCCTGATGAGTCTAACTTTTCATTCATTATTATCTGCTGTTAGTAATTCCTTTGCGGAAGATTACCCGAACAATATTTTTAGATTTAAGTCAGTTTGAATTGAATACTACAAAAAGATTGTAACAATCACTTCTTTGAATTCTCAATAATCGGTAGTGGTCAGACTGTGGTTGTCACTCATCGACCAGCATTTAGAACTATTGTTAGTTTAACTTTATCAAGTCATTATCAAGCTTTTATAGTAATATCACAAGAAGATTAAAAAAACACTGATTAATAAATTTTTCACCAATCATCAATAGATCTTCATTTTATAAATTATTCTAATAACAGTTCAGCAAAAGTATATTTAGAGCTACCTCAATTTCTTTTCATATTGAGGTATTTCTTACGGTAAATAGACACCCTTAGTATCCGAACTGAGGAGACGAATCATGAGATGATGAGGCCGATGTTGATGAATTAAACTTCTTTGAGTCATCTCAATTATTTTGGTGGACGCTCATGTAGGTGTATGGACACCCCTTACTTCGGTTTTCCTTCAAAAAGCAGTTAATTTATAATTAACTAAACAATATTATGAGGTATTTACAAAAATTCAACGCGTGGTGAAGGACTTTTTTAAAATGTTTCAAGCGTCACCAGCACTTAGCATGACCCAAGGTTCGCGACGGGGACGCGACTGGTATGAACCCTACCAAAAGTGCATTTGGACCGGTCTAATCCCTCCAGGTATATACCTAATTAAGTGCGACTCAATTTTTATTCTTTCCTTTGTTTGTGATAATTATTAATATGAATAATAATTCAGAAAAATTGAAAATTAGATCACGTGCTCTATTATACTATTACCAACAGTTTTTATGAATCCAATCATTAAACATCAGGTATAGGTACACAAACTGCAGGAATAACAATAATAATATTTTCAGTAGAAAAAGATGGTAGGCTGAAGGCTCTCACGGTAATTGATTTGAGTGTTTTTTCGAGTGGAGTTGAACGTTATTGATTTTGGACATATTCCAGTACATGATGAATTCATTTTTAAATAAGAGCAACTAGAAGTTTTAATGGTCATTTGCTCGGAACTTCCTGACGAGAGTGGAGGAATGTTCAATGGTTCGTTAATACTTACACAGAATGAGATGATACTGCTGAATTTCGGGATTCCTTCAATGTTCTATTGACCTGAATCAACTTTTTTCTACTTATGCAATTACATGAAACCTATATCACATCACGTCTAAATTGACAATTGTAAAGATACAAATATATACTTTTACCAATGTGTATCTATCACGCGAACATACTGCACGAAACAAACTTGAAATTAATGTCAATATAATTCATTGCAATTTATTTCATACTTGATTCGATAGTATATGCCACTTTCAATGTGATATCGTCAAACAATTGGTTTTTAGATGAAGATATCGATGACGAGCTTCTGTAATACACTAAAAAATTTATTCTTCAATCATAGTGTATTTTACTCGAATTAAGTATAGGGGTGCTTCCACGCAAATAGTGATTATCCTAATAGAAATTACTCTTTTCGTTATCATTACAAGTTAATATCTGCTAACGGAGGAAGCCAGTGGAGATGAATAACTTTTCTGAATACGTGATTTACCAGTGGGTGCTGCGATATTCAAGAATATTTATGTCAGTACCGTGTCTTCAATAATGAATTTGTCCATCATTTGCTCCGCCATATCACACATCAGACTTGGAATTGACATACGACACGTTGGGCCACCACATGTTTCTGATTCATTTCATTCAAATTTGATCATTTTCTGCTATTGTCCGCTAGAACTGTCTTAAAAAACGTACTGTGAGTATCGGTATCGTAACTTTCCGAAAATGTGCTCCACATGCCATAGGTCCTTCTAAATGAGTACACTCGGAGAGGAAATCAATATCTTTTCT